GCCGGGTGGCCTAACTCCAGCGGCACACCTGCCTCCCCGTGATGTCCACCCACAGCAGCGCGTTCTCCTTCTCGTCCCACAGCGGCGACTCCCCGAGCCTGCAGCCCTCCTCGGTGACGCACGCGACCCTAACGGTGGCCATGCCTGCGGGGAGAAGATGCTCCTAGAATTCCCAGTTACGTAGGCACAGGCCACAGTACCTCGTTACTTGCCCTAATTTAGGTTTGTCTGCGGCGTTCAGACTTCGGCGCCCGTCACTGGCACGCCGGTACTCGGCCGCCCTTGTCCCTCCTAAGAAACACCACGTTGAGCCTTTCCTTCCACAGTAGCATCCCTGCGGCAGTTTACATGTCTAACGTACTCGGCTGTCTTTCCTCTGCGTTCCCTCTGACTTACCAGTCTTTATATTAAAAGCTCTTTTTATCGGTAATCGTACAATTTTGTACTCTGGCCTAAGCTTACCCCATTTTTCTTGTTAGAACGATCCCTGTCCTCTGCGCTGACACCCCCAGCTTTGTATCGCTCTCAAATTTCTGAAGCACAAGCCGAGGTTACTTGTGAATATACAGGGGAAGATCAGCTTTGAGACAACCTGTGGAACAAAACGAGTATCCCCTCCAACAACCCAATAAAGTGGCATTTAATGTAAAAAAAGAAGAAAAAAGGAAAAAAAAAAAAGATCACCCCACTCCCCTAGCCTGCTCCACAACCCCCTTTGAATTCCTGTAGGAATGCCCCTCATTTCCACGTTCAGTAATGTGTTTTGAGTCCGGGTGTCAGTTAATTAAATCCACTGTATTGCCTCTGTTAAGGAAATTAATTTTCTCATCAAGAGAGCGATTTATCTAACAGAATGTACTCCTGATAAAACCCTGGTGTAATTCCTCACCCTTTCCAGTCACCTCTTCGTTCATCAGGTTTTTTCCACAGAATTTGTTCTAAAACTGTCCTTGTTGTTGCTATCAAACTTGCAGGCTGTACTGCCTCTAGCAACTTTTCTCCCTTTTTGAGTATAGGTACCACATTTGCCATTTTTCTGCCCAAATCCCTGAATTTAGGCATCACCTACAAACCCTTAGACCACACTTGTAATTCCGTGTTTAGTTCTTTCATTATTTTAAGATGGAGATGGTCTACAATCTCTGATTTTCTCAAAAAGATTGTTCAGTAATGAGGCAACAGCTGTCTTAACCTCTTCTCTACCCTGCTCACAGTCTGTACAGTCACTGCTCTCCTCTTCTTCAGGCT